CTCCTCCTCCTCCTCCTCCTCCTCCTCTTCCTTGACTTATCGAAACGACGATAACGCGCGCATCCACCGACGACACTAACCACCCCTCTCCTCGAGGATTAAATGCAGCGGCAGCTAGTACTCGGGTGTGTCCCCGCGCGTTCCTTAAAGCTGACGAACGACATCGCCACAGAGGGATACATACAGTCATACGTATATCCCTTCCATCTCGTTCGTCGCCGTCGCCACTATCATCTCCTCCTCTTCCTCCTCCTGTCGCAAGTCGCCGTCGTCACCGCCGCCACTGCCGCCACCACTGCCGATGCTGTCCCTCGCGCACAGCCTCAACCATGCCATTAAACTACATACCGGGCATCGCCCGATGGATCAACGGATCGTGAGCGAGATCGTGCGCGGAGGGTGGCGATGCGGGTGGTGGAGTCGGGGTTGGGGCCGGGGCTGGGACGGCGACATTCGTCTCGCTCGCTTATTCTCGTTAGTGCGAAGGATCGGGCTCGTGGCTCGTTACGATCATCTCATCGGCCCGTCCGAGCGGAGACAACGCGCGCACCGAGACGACGACGAGCGACTCTACGCTCTCGCTCCCACTCGCGACCTCCTCGGACACTTGGAGGTGGACTCACGTCGGCTCACTCGCTGTCTCTACCACGGCGTTCCTGAGGGCCCCCGCTGAGCCCCCGCTGAGCCCCCGCTGAGCCCCCGCTGACCCCCCGCTGAGCCACCGCTGAGCCACCGCTGGCCCTCGCCGATCGATCGCCGATCAACCGCCGATCAACCGCCCATCTCTACCGTCCAGCCCCCAGCCCCCTTACGACGCCGAGGAGCGCACGAGCGTTGCCCCGGATTATTTACGCGACGATTTAGGTGTCGAAAAGTCGAAAAGGGTCAACGCGAACAATTCTGTGACTGTGTCGATGAGGTGGATAGGCACTCGTTGTATGTCCTCTCACCGAAGCCCAAATTTTTTATTATAGAGCGCGATGGGTCTCCGGGCGAGCGACTCTATCGTCCTTGTCGCGCGTGACGAAGGAATTACTTAGTGGCTTCCGTCGTCGAGATGCTGGAGGTAATGGGAGCGAGAGCTTGAAATATTTTCTGGAGCTAAGGGCCGAGAGAGATGCGTTGTTGTTGAAAATTTTGAATAATCGCCTCGGGAAGCGTTGGGAAGAACGCTCGCTCGACACTTCGCGAAGACTTCGTTTTAAATGTATTGTGTAAGGTGGTGGTGGTAGCAGCGGCGGCGGCGGCAATTGTGCGTTCGAGTTCGGCAATACCGAAGTGCTCGAGTGCAACGTTTCGGACGAATGTAAAACGATGTGCCGGTAATATTTGTTTTGAATCGTCGTGGCTTCGGCCGACATTGCTCCGCCAATGGCAAATCTTTTACTTGGGACGAACATGCGTTACCAACGCACTGGTTCAGCAATTCGTTTTTTATTTTTTTCCGTTCCCCCTGGTCACTCTGCGGTATTGTTCGTCCAAAGAGCGGACGCTCCATTTTAAATTACGGAAAGTTAAAGGAATCTTATAAGTGCGCGAGTTTAAACTCGAGATTTTATTATAATTATATTTTTCTTTTATGAATTGTCCCTCTCTCTCTCACTTTCTGCGTATATGCATCTGTGCATGCGCGTACGCGTGCTGTTATTCGTGTCCTCAGTCATAAAAAAAATTTATTATCTACAATACACGTAGCCATGGAATGATAGAAATTTTTTAATAAATTATACATCCTTAATACTACAGAATAATAATCCTTGGGGTCAATTTTAAAACAGATAAATTATTGTAAGCGTAGGAGAATTTTAATATATATATATATATATATATATATATATATATATATATATATATATATATATAATTTTTAAATTTAATTTGTCGAAATGCAAAATTAATTTTTATCTTTAGACACATTGATAGTGTAAAAAAATTTCAATATTCATAATTAATTGAAATAGTATTTTGTATATTTATGCCATTTCATATTTATTTATACTTAAAATATTTTGTCTCGTATGCAAATTTATACGTTCGATAAAAATTGTACTTGTTTCTTTCTTTTTCTTTTTTCTTTATTCTTTTTTTATTTCTTTTTGCTCGAGTTGAGAGGCTACTGAATAATCAGCAACTAAAACGTGCATTAATTTGCGAAGAAATATTTTGAAGCTTTAATTATTGAAATAGTATTAACATTATAGTTATTATAGCGAAGAAACTTTGAAAAAGAGTATATTTCTAAAAAGATTTATAAAGCGCAATAAATTTTAATAGAACAAGGCCACTACGTGCATTCAATTTCTAAATAGTACGTACAAAATTGTAACAAAAAATTTTGATTTTTTTAAACAATTGTTAAAAATTACTAAAATCCTCCAATCTTATACGATGAAAGGGTGAAAAACTCAGTTGTTATGACGTAATCGGGCATAAAAGTATGAGAATATACATATTTATAAATATATATTTAAAGGTAATTGTTCTTCGCTTTAAACTTTGAATATTAAAAACTATTGAATAGTACAAATCATCGATAAAAAAAAAAAAAAAAGAACAATTCATCAACAAGGGACGTGTAAATTCTTATTTTTAAAACAAACTAAATATATATTGTTTTACTATAATGTTTCTGAGCTATATTATCAAATATGCAATATTTTTAACGTAAACAATACCTGTTTTTTTTTTCTTTGTACACATACTCTTTTTTGTTTATAATTACGAGAGCGCTTAACAAGAATGTTGATATGCAAATGAATTTCTATTGATTAATTTTAATTAAAACACAATGGCGTCATTAGAAGATTTACTACTTTTTATGGTTTTCATTTGGACCTAAATATACTTGACTTTCTCGATGAAAGATTCATGGGAAAGTGAAATTTCGAGAGGAAAACTCTCTAAATCTGAAATACAGAAATGTAATTGCCTTTCGAATCAACGTTAAGACTAAAATGATTATCGCAACTACAGTCGACACTCCCATCGAAAATATACTTACTTTTCATTTATATGGAAGTAACTTTTTTTTTAATATTATTGGGTGAAAAAAATTTACTTAAACTTTATTGATAAGTGAGAGAGAGAGAGAGAGAGAGAGAGAGAGAGAGAGAGATATTTAATACATGAAAATCTAAAAAAAATTGTCAATAATTAAATAATTATAATTTTACGTTTTTTTAATCTTACTGTATTATATGTTAAATGTATATATTTTTTAGTGATTCATCAATGTTTCTAGAAGGACAGGAAAATAGTTACTCACGTAACACTAATGCAACTCTCGCTGCGCAGAAGAAATAAAAAGTTGAAGCGTACCTTTGATAACATTAATAAATCATTGTGAAAAAAAAAAGAAATCTACTTCTTATGTTTTTCTTTTTCAAACAATGTAAAACAAATTTTTATTAAAGTATTATAGTAGTTTTATATTAAAATTAGAATTATATACGTTGCACGTAAATTTTTTCTTTTCTTATATATATATATATGCATACATGCATACATATAAGAAAAAAAGTTTGAGTAATTTTTATCCACGTATGTGTAAAAATTTGGTTAAACTCCAAGTTTTATATAAAAAATAAGTAATTATATGAAATTATTATCTTGAAATATGACTTGACATAAGAGTTAATAATGTGTTGTTCCATAAATGTGTTACATAAATGAGAAATACGATTTTACTTTGTAATTGAATTATCTTATAATTGGCAACAATTTCATCTTTCTGTTCGATCATCGTTCAAAAATTATAAGCCAAATTCTTGAAATTTCACATTATAGAAATGTTTTTTTGCAATTGAACTTACAATTTACTCTCGTGTTATTTGGCAGCGGAAAATTATAGAAGCGAAAGAACAAAATCATTTCGTTTTGTATGCGCACATGTACCATTTGTGGATACGCACGTGCAGATTTATTGGCCACGTGGTGCAAACGAGCGAATCACCTTTTTTTCTTTTGAACATTCGGCTATCGACGCGATTCTTAAAAACTCGTAATCGAACAAATTATGATAAAGCGTATCGACAATAATTAAATAAACAATAACCTTTACTAATCGACTGTCTAAAATTTAGAGGGGAATGTAATTATCATTTGAAGGTTTATTCGTCTTATACAATTCACCATTTAAATTCATATTCCGTTTTGTCTATTTTTAATCGCCAAATCGCTTATTCCGTTCAACTTCTAATGTAACTTTCTAGTTATCATTTGTTTGTCAAAATTAGTTTGCAAATAGAACAGCAAAATTCATTTAACACTTTCTTGCTGCAAATAACCGATACGTTTTCGAAACATTCGTAACTATAATCATTCGCTTTTCAATATAAGCTTTAAACATGTTTAAAATAACCAATTCGCTAAATTATGCTTCTTCTTTCTCTATGTCCAACGTCATCCACGTACTTGTGATACAGTTTATGACGCTGTATTGACGCGAATGTGAGTAAATGCGACTTGTTAAATATAAATTGCATATTTCTTACACCATGTTTTCTCTTTCAATATCATTATTAAAAAATTTTTTTTTTTTTTAAATTCCACCAACAATTAACATAAATATTTAATCTGAGATGCAGTATTTAAATAATTCGTTATGATTATGTTAAAATAGAAATTTCAATCGCTTATATAAAGAGCGATAAATCCATGCTCTATGCATTCTATATGACACTAATCTCAAGAATTTTAAAATATTAAAAAAAAATTCTGCCCGAATAAGGCCCACAATCCATAACCAAAATTATAATAAAATTTTCCTTTGAATGACTATAAAATTCAATGTTTCAAAAATATGCTTCTCCATACGTATAATAAATATTAAATATAAATTTCTGATTATAAAGAAATGTCGATAATTTTATGTGGCCCACTCCACGTACTCTTGCATCATTGCTTAATAAGTCAATTCTGCAATAAAATATGAATGTTTGTATACTTGCTTGTGGGCTTATCTATCACTTTGTTCTCGGCAAAATACCAAAATATTCTGAATTTTCATAAATTCCTCGACAGAAGCCGCGCACACAGCTATTATCTGGCAACTTTTATTACTCTGCAGGCATATATTTTAAACATTAGAGATCTATAATTTTTGGGAAGAAGGCCAAGTCAAAGTTTAATTTCCTCTTCTCATAGCCAGCATAAAAGTCAATTGAAAAAAAAATAAAAAAAACATCGTTACATCAATAATTAATGGATCAATTAGTGGTTACATTTGTACAATATATTTTTTTTTATGTCAATTATTATAATGACATATCATTTAACAAGATGAGAAATTTATTTTAACTCTAAAGAACTTGAGCAAAAGGAGCAAAATTAAAACGATTGATCATATTCTGAGACGTAAACCACGTGTATAAACACATTTTAAAAATAAAATATTAGTTCTTTAACCCACGAAATATCTACGATTTCACACATTATTATTTTCAAAACTGTTGGATGAAATTTTTATAGTCCATTTTCATATTAATTTGATAAGTAAAAATGTTAGGAAAATGTAACTTTCGCAATAATTATATCAATGTTGGTTAATCGTATAGGCATCTTGACAAATCAAGAACTCTAATCACTTATTATGGATGCGAAAATCTAATCGCACGTTTGTATAAAGAACGAAATGCAAACAGGAACTGAAAATTGATTTCTTCATCAGCATGAAACAAATTCATAAGATATTCAATGCAAGTCATAGAATGCAATGTTGATTTCTAAGTGTAATCCTCATTAACATTGACTAACGACTGTGCAACAATCAAAGCTCAAGTATTGCAATCTCAATAAGGCAGCTAATCAACTTGGGCAATCCTTCGCAATGTTATGGTCTTTTGACCTTCACTTTCAATAATAAAAATGCATTTGCAAATTTAAGCGGCCGTTGGGAGACAAAGAAATCATTTAACTAACAAGCGATTAATCTGACAAAATACAAATTCACTTTAAAAATCTTTATAACTAAACATTCGGGTGGTAAAAATTATTTTTATATCATTAATCGTATATGTATTTTTAATGTTATTTTAAGCCTCTCGTTACATAATAAACATAATGAAGTATAAATGAAAAATTTATATACGTGTGCAAATTTTTTGGAAAGATACAGAAAACAGAAATTAGTAATCAAACAATTTATAACAATTATAATTTTATAGATATACAAAATTAGCTATTAAATTATTAGTCACTAGTCAATCGATATATATTTTAATGAATTTCAAAATCATTTTTTACGGTTTAAATGGGTTACATTTTACATTACACAGATAAAAAATTGGACATTGAGAGAATATATTTCCGGGCACTCGCAGTTTATAATAAAATTAAAATTATGATTATATTGTAAATATTTTCATTGTGAACGTTCATCTTCATTAATCAATAATTGATTATTGATTGCGCATTATTGATCTTACATTCGAATAAAGAAAAATGATTGAACCTCGTTTGTAGAATGTGATATAATGTGAAGATAATGCGCTCGCACAAATACAGGCACATGCATATACGCATACAATTAAAAAAATTAAAACGTACACAATTCTAACCAAGTAAGAACGTATTTCATTCTAATATGAAATCGAGTCTGTAAATATTTATTGTTTTTGACTCTCACTAAGTAGGTTTAATCTATCGAGTAGGCTCTTGCCAAAAGAGTTTCTGTACTCTGGGCTCACAGAATCCAACAAACTATAGATCGTCTCAAAATATTCAAAATTAGAATCATCGTCTTGATTTGTCTTGCTTGCGTAATTATGCTCGTTACTAACGATACTAAAGCCTTGGGGCGATAACCGTATACAAAACTTGAAATGTTCCAGTGTCGTTAGATTCAAATAGATCGACCGCTTATTGCTAGTCAATACTGTGTCGTCGCAAATCTTTATATGATGCACGTGATATCTTATATCGTTGATGACTGCTTGCGCTTCCAAACGCCACTGCTCAGCATCAAAGATACGCTTCTCTTTATCCACCATCTCCTTTGGTATGCCAAGCTACAAAAGGAAATACGCCATCTTATCGATTGGCAAACATTAACATGGATGTCGTTTAACAAATAACTCTAGCGTACGCTGCGATAATAATGTCACCGATATAAAAGTCTACCGATACACTGTCTCTTGAACGTTTCTTCTACGATCGTAATTCAACTTCATCTATTCGAGCCGCATACAAATTGCCGTGAACTTGGAATTTGGTAAAAATTACTTCCACATCACGAAGCCACATCCGATACTCTAGAATTACTGCAAATTTAAATGCATCATACTTAATAGCTCGATTATCGTTTACTACCTTAACATCAATTCCCTTTCAATTCATTTGTTAAGCAAGAGCGAAAGCAGCAGTGCAATCGCACAAAAATAGCTTAGTACTTTACTATTTCTCATACTTATATCTTATTTTTTGTAGCCGTTTTACCTTCTATTTATAAATCAGAATTCAATGTGCTTATTGTCCCTGCTCGACCGTATTATAATTCCCTCATGACTATTTGACTTAGATTCCGACTCACTTTATTCTCCCTCCTTCGTACTCCAGCGACCTGGAAAACACGAGATTTCCACGAACTTTCAGGGCTAAAGAGCAAGATTAGCAAGCTGCTCGTCCTCTTACGTAAGGACAGATATCTTTTGACACATCCAAGTGTGTCCACATGCTTACGTACCAGCATCCACGGCTCAAGTGATTTTCTCTGCTCCTCGCTCCCTCCTCCCGTTCTCCTCTATCGTCACGTAATCATTTCAATTGACATTCGGCTGGAGTAGGGTTTCCTTTTTTCACAAGCAGCCGGCACTTCAGGAAAATCCGGGGGATTGCAATGGACATAACGCGACATGCTTATCAGTGATTATTTCGTAAGGGACGTCGCCGTGCCGTATGTCGCCGCGCCGAGTTGAGCAAATCGAAGAGGCCGTAGGCAGTGCTGCCATTGCCGGCAAAGTCGGTAAAGCAGGCCGTTACGTACTTAATGATTTGTTGGTAAAGTAACTTGACGAACTTTGCTAAATTGGCTATTATCGATAGTTTGTGGATTGTGAGATCGTTATGAACAATTACGTGCTGCATCTCAGACGGAGACGAGGGCACGCTATATTGCATTGTCGAATGGGTTATTTTCTGATCGGGGTTCGAATTAATTTTTTTCGATCGACCGTTGCATTTGCGAAGAGAACGATTGGCAATGTTTGTCGCCGAGCTTTACGTCTCTTGACAATTGCGGCAAGCTTTGTTTATTAAATTTTGTTCGCATAGAATATAATTAGCCAAGGTAGCTGAACGTCTGTGTGACAAAATTTAAGTTCATCAAGCATTATCCATAATATATTGCCTTAATAAACAATATTATTTTTATAAATGTTAAATTATTTGACTTTTGATGGAATCAATGTTCTTTATATTGTTATTATAATATTAAATGTCAGATAATAGAATAACGACTGTTATTATAATGACAATTATTAAATAAAGCACACATTAGCGATAAATGGAGTATATTGTTGAGTGTCTTTATCAGGCCTGCGGTACTACTAATCCTTCAATACTAAAGTAGCAGAAATCTCTAGGTCCTTATTATTATAAAAATTCTTTATTCCGCTTTTATTATTATTAATGTGAGGGTAAAAGTGTCATCCTCATTGAAATATCATCAAATTGTTTCATGTTAAAAATTTATTCAGAGAGGATTCAAATTTAGGCTTTTCCATTAACCGTTCGTATCAATTTCATTTTCATTAAATAAAAATTTGAAAAGACCACCACATACTCGTAGCATCTGTATTTTCTGGTTGACAGGGGATTGATCTTAAAATATCTATCACTTACTTCTTTCGTATGATAATAAATTCTTACCGTATAATGATGCTTATCATCGCAAATACATCTGAAAGAAACTCAATATAAGTGGAATACAAAGATTAACAATAATATAACAACAACAACAACAAAAACAAAAACAAATAAAGAAAAAAAAACAACAGAAGAAAGAAAAAAAATTTCCTCCTTTATCAACAACTGTGAATAAGAATTTGATTGTGATCAGCGTTAGCTATGGAACAGAAATTAGTAGATGGTAGTTCACTGCTGCCATTTCAATTCCCATTGCTCATTTATTTGTAATGCGTGCGTGAATTTTGCTTAACAGCAAAGGCCTTAAACGCTTCAAAAGAAAGCAAAAATCAATACCACCTCAATCTCGCCGAGAGTTTCCTCCTCCTACATCATACGCACTCGGAAAAATCCCCCGGGTGAACCTGCTTTTCCGTTTGGTCTTGCATATTTTAGGCGACGAAGTGAACGTATATTTGATCGAGCCGAATTTGTAATGTTCTCGTTAACAAAAAGCTAGAGAATAGAGATACAGAGGGGGGGGGGAGCATAGCCTCTATAGATATTTTCGCTCCATCCAAGGCAAACGCCCTAATAATAATTGACCGTGAACGCAATTGTTCGACTCTCTCCTCTCGTGTGCCCAAGAATACGGAACTTCCGACAGTCGATACACAAATTGTACTTTTTAATTAGCGTATCGCTTGCCATGAGTACACATACCGCCATAAGTTTGCACGGTTAAATCACCTACTTGAATATGAAAATTCGTAGTATATTATTCTCGTGATATACCGTGTTATAGATATTATTATTATTATTATTATTATTATTATTATTATTATTATTATTATTATTATTATTAATCTATTTAGGCGCATTAAAAAAAATTTCATTCGTTGCATATCAAATGAGAGTATTAATTGGAAAACTTTGCTTCGCTTGCATATTGCCGAGTCCGTAACTTCTTTCTTTACTTTCATTGGACTTAATTGCTGATTGAATGTTGTCATGATCATTATAGCAATAAAAGCTTATTTTTCTGGAAAATTGTGTTGATATGTTTCTGTAGCGGATCAACAATACACGACTGGCACGCTGTAAAAATCTATTATCAAATATCAAGAATCAAGATATTTCACGATATTTATGTATAATTTACTGTTTAACTAAACTAACTAACCGTATTACTTTCGAACATAACTAAGGCAGTTGATAAATTTTAAACAATGTTTATCCAAGCTTTAATAAATTTTATATATAATTCAATAGGCAATAACATTCTAAAGCGAATAGATATTTTATTTTATTAATGATTTTTATTTAATTGAATTTGCCTCTATTAAAGAAGCCTAAAAAAAGTATATATATATATATATATATATATATGAATTGAATTATATCAAATATCAAGAATCAAGATATTTCACGATATTTATGTATAATTTACTGTTTAACTAAACTAACTAACCGTATTACTTTCGAACATAACTAAGGCAGTTGATAAATTTTAAACAATGTTTATCCAAGCTTTAATAAATTTTATATATAATTCAATAGGCAATAACATTCTAAAGCGAATAGATATTTTATTTTATTAATGATTTTTATTTAATTGAATTTGCCTCTATTAAAGAAGCCTAAAAAAAGTATATATATATATATTATCGAAATTGTGCATTTTATATTACAAATTTTCTTTCTGTAAAATCGACTGTATAATGTGCGTACGAGTCCCGAAAAAAATTACTAAGTTACTTAATGCATATTAAAAGAAGCTATAAGTAACGATCGATCATGACCTCATAAATATTTATAATACATTCAAATAAATTTAAGATTTTCATATACATAGGCGTAGTATTAATTGCCTTAATCAAACAGAAAGCAAGTAAGGTAATAATTTTTAAAAATAAAAAATTGCAAGTTACGAACACTCATTTTCACATTATAAATAATACACAATAATGTAATTATTGTATGTATGTATATATATATATATATATATATTATGCATAATATAATAGTTATATACATGATAAATATTACAATTTAAAAAAATCATGCAAATACTTTTGCACATTTCCATTGTATTTAGATTACGTACTCTTTTATTATCTCTCCTCTAACGAAAACTATATCATTCTGATCAGAAATAATTTCAACATATTGTTATTTTCATATATATCTATTAAGATTTAGACAACTGCTTTATAAATCGGATGCATAGAAATATTTAAAATTAATCATCGATTTATCCTACAAAATTGTATTTGCATTTTATAATGAAACGTATTACATAACAATAATACATATTTTCCAGTAAAATTTTTAATTCCTGAAAATATTCTAATTTTAATAATTAAAATTTTAACACATAATTTTGAGATTTCCAATGTCTGTGTTATTTAGTCACATTAAATTAATTTCATTAATAATATTAAGAAGAATCGTTGCAATCATTAGTTTATATTCGTATATAGTTTATATATTATTAAATAAAACATGCAGATATTAAGGATAACAGTAAAAAGAAAAAGAATGAATTATTATTATTGAAGGATAGTAGATAGTGATATAAATTATGAAAAAATTAAATTGAGTTATAAAAGTAGTTGTTTAAAATTTTAAATTTCAACTATTTTTATGCATTATACACAAAAGCATTACAAAAAAAAAAAAAAAAAAAAATAATAAAATTGGATTAGAATGACATGCACAGCCTATGGTATATTTATTTGCAAGATACAACTAATTGGTTTTTAATAATTTTTATTTAGTAGCTGCAGTCAGAGAGTTTAAGTTTATTATATTTAGTAAATTGTCGCTAATTATCGTGAAAAAGGAAAAGCCAGCCGATACAAATACACAGTTGTACATGTTTATTTGTCAATATAAAATAAATAAAATTACTAATGAAATTAATGATAATTATAATTTATGAAACTAATATTTAAATGGAAAAGAAATGCTTTGACTGCATTTATAATTGAATCAATAGTAGGCTTTGGTGCCTAAAGGAAATTCATTATTGTAATCATGTTTTTCACCTATCTATAAATATACATAAAACGGCTTGAATATCCCAAGAAAAAATCATGAATAATTAGTTATCGGTATAAAATCAAAAAGCTCAACGAATGTTAGTTACTTTAGATACATGAAATTTAAATATAATAGTTTCTTTTATAGCTGTTAATCGAAACAAAAAAAAAACGCATATTTTAAACATTTCATTACGTCGTAAAAGTTGGACATTGTTTTTAGTATTTATTATTAAAGTATACATCTTATTCCTTTTCTTCTTATTATTATTATTATTATTGCTTATATTATTAATGATTATAAATGCGACATCAATTATGTATATATATTTGATATATATTTGTT